CTGGTTCGTAGGAGTCGGGGCTGGGCCCTACTGAGGACAGGGGTGGGAACTGAGACGCATGGAACTGATTTCTAACGCAGCAGCTGATGTCTAGGCAAGTCAAAAACACTGCACGTGCTATAGTTTTTCTACCCGCAAGATGGATTTGCGACAATTTACCTATTTGCAAGCATATTTGATGTGGTTAAATAAAAGTCCTTGGTATCCTTTCAGCTGAGTATCCCCAACTTCTAAATTCACATCCGCAAGGTAAGCGTCATTTGCATCCCAAGGAGTTATGAAAAGGATGGGCAGGTTTGCAGTGATGGCAATTACACCATCGTACACAAACCCAGCACCCGTGGATCTGTTTGACGCGGTGTTCTGAAAACATAAATCATGGCACTTGAGGGCTAAATTGTTAAAGCACATTTAAACTGTTCTCTGTTTACCTGTGTATGGGATCCAGAAGTAATGAGCTTAGCATGTTGCAATTTATCGTTAGTATAATCTGGTTTATATGGTGAGCGGTGACTTAAATGCAGCAAATGATAAGATTTTGTAAGATGTTTGGTGGCAGTAAAGCACTTGACATGTCTGATGTTTTAATCTATAAAGGAGTCTTGGAATTTATTTTTTTAAAAAAAAAAATTAGTAGAGAGACATTAAGACTCTGCAAATCACATTTCGCAGGGGTTGTGATGGGACAAATGGACCCTGGGTGGAAAGGAAATAGTTTTGTTTACTGAATGTTTCATTAGGAAACTGGAACGGAGGGAGGCCACCTCAGCATAGTGTAAGTTTTGCTGGCATGGATGTGCAGCTGGGAATGTCCCACGCCAGCAGCAGTCCGACGTGGGGGCAAGCCTCCAGCGTGCTTACTGCTCTCGTGACAGCAGGTACATCGTCTGGGTCAGGAGAGCCTCCACCTGTACGAACACGCTCGAGCTCCTCTGTAGCGCAGCAAGGATAGCGTGGGCCAAGAGAATAGGCCAATTTAATGACATCTTTTGGCAACAGCTCTTGCCTAAGTTGTTTCCCCTCGCTGTAATTGCACTCTTGCTTCAGTTGCACTGACGCAGCCATTTCTAAGCCTTACCCCATGCGTCACCTATTTGCCTTTGTATGTTGTTGTGGATTCCTTGTTAAACCAGATCAGTTCCCTGATGGGGCATATGATGCCGCTCTAACAAATTTGTGCCAGCGCAACTGAAGTAGCATTCCAGAGGGTAGGGAATAAACAAACGCTGGTTGGTGAAGGGGAATGATATGGTGCTGGGAGAGCTGCGCAGGCACTGGCTGGCAAGGCCAGACTTGTGCAGGTCCATAGGGCATCCTTCAGAAAACAGCTGGATAACAGGACTCGGACTGATCCTTCAAGAGAACAGAAACAAGCAGGTGAAGTGCTTGAAGCTTTCTTAAGAATTTGGGAAAGAAAAGAAGTCAACAAATGGCAGTAAAAAATAAAACCCAAAACTATTCCAACCATTTCCATAGGACAGAAGGACCTCAGAATAGAGGTGATCTTTCTAGTCCAGGGCCAGAGGATAATGCAGAGTTTGCAGTGCCCTGCTTGTATCTTTCCAAGGTTTAACGCAGCTTTGGAGTTCCAAAATGTTTCTGGTTGTAAATGCACCAAAACTCTGAACATCTTCCCAGAGAAAAGTTTCATACTCCCAGGCAAATACTTCCCCAACAAGCAAGTGGTGTGACTTAGAGAAGCCTGCTGAAGTCTCATTTTAAATGCGTTTACTTCAAGCATCTAGAGGATCTAGAGCACTGCCTTGTGTTTCTCTTGCATTTCACAGTTACTGACTGAAAAAAATTAATTGGCAAAAACACTGGCACAAACCTGAGCGAGGGCTTTTCCTCACCTCATACAGGTCCATCTATACCCTGGAAAGAAATGTAAGTACATATAATACACAAAAAAAATAGCAGGGAGCAGGGCAGGTCATTACTCAAGCAAAATATTCAAATGTGATAAGAAATTGCTTCTGGCTGGCAAGTTCAGAATTAGAGCATTCTGTTTCATTCTGTGCTGCTTTCTAATAAACCTTGGGTCTACTGATTGCTTGGTGCCAAAAAGCACCAGTCTGGGCCATCCAACATCGCCAAACAGGAGCATTCATTGCTAAACCTGAATAGTTTTTTTTTTTTCCAGCTTCTTTCTGTGACACAAAGGACCAGAAACTTGCTGCCATTAAGTGAAAACTGATACTTTCATCCCAGTCCAGAAGAAAAAACTTCAGAGAAATCGAATATCACAAAACCCCACCTGGCTGGGCTTAACAGTGGTTTTGATTTCCACTGATGATTTCCATCTTGGGCTCTCCCTGCAGTGTAAGAGCTCATATTCATGAGCACTGTAAGATTGGGACCAATTCCCTGTTTTCTAAACTGAGCTACTTGTGGAAGTTTAGAAGGATCATGGCCAGCAGACGCAGCCCCAGCTGCCAACCTTCAGCCCAAAAAGCTCCTTTCCCATTTTCCTTGCCTGGGCAGTCCTCTGCAACACAGACAAATAAACGAGTTATTAAAAAGCCACTTCAGTGTTTCGACCTAAAAACCATTTTGCTCGAGTGTGCAGGAATTTCTTCCTTTGGTTTTCCGAGTCCGACAGCTTCTGTGCTTGCTACTGTAGGTGGCACTGAACGGACAGCGCAGGATGTGTCCAGTTTCAGCAGCGCTGAGGAATCCCTCGGCCCTTTGCACAAAATACCTGACCGGGGGCCCTGCCTCTGCCCCGTGGTGCTGCCGTGCGTCACGTTTACATCATTCTGCCTATTCCAGAAACAAGCCAAAATCAATCATTTTGATCCACCCGAAATTCATTCTTATCCAAGATTTTGCTTTCTGGAGAACGTGTTGACAATTTTAAAGCTTTCTTTGTAGCGATGCCTATTCTCAGGAAGGTGCTGGTTTTAAAATCTTGAAGGCTCCTCCACAACATTTAGCGGAGACTTCAAAGTCTGCACCCTAGTTAGTCAACACAGCCACCTCAGATGGCTTTGCTTTCAGTTACAGCTGAGCAATTAGGGTGGCTTTGCAGATTAACATACCTAATGGCACCTGAAGGTAGGGAGGTGGCCACTGCTCTGACCTCCTCCAGCTGTCGAGGAGGCACCGGTGCCTCCCAGCGCTGCCAGAGGCTGGGCCCCTGCCTGGCTAATCCAGGTTGGTTAGTCTGGGTTTAGACTCGCAGCTGTGCCTGCTTGGGAAGCATCCCGGTGGCCTGACTGCCTGTGCTGCCGGTCCTGCCTCTTCCCGCTGTGTCTCTAACCAGGCACGAGGAATCGGGGAATTTGCACAAAACTCGGAGCACAACAAGGAGCAGGAAACTCTTGAAAGACCTACCTGGGACGTGTGGAAAGAAGAGAGCAGTGTTTATAAGGAGCCAGCCGGCTTGTGAAGCATCTGCTGCAAATGTTACGCGTCTCAGTGGAAACACGATGTCTGGTGGTTGTAGATGGTACCTTAAGGCCCGTGTGGTGCTGTACCCAGCACACAGTAACTAGCCGAGACCTCCTAAGGGTGGCAGAGCTCCTGACCCCTGGGCTGGCAGTCGTCTGAGAAGCAGCGGTTATGAACTGATCGCATTCATTTTCAGCAGGTACACGTACAGGTACTTTGGATTTTCAAAGGGGCAGATTTATCACCACTGAGAAAACGAGGAAAAATGTAAACAGGAAACCACAAATAAACATTAGGAGTACCTTTAAAACAAAATTACTAAATAGCTTTAAAAAAAAAAAAAAAGCAGCCCCAATTCAGCAATTGTCAAAAAGGACACGGAGGGGGACGGACTGATGACTTTCCAGTCCCCGATATCTCCAGGTATCTCCTTATTTCCTGCCATGGTTAAAAACTGTTTCTTGGCCGTTCCATACCTGCTGGTTGAGGTGTAGGAAATCCCAGCACCCACGCAGCTCTGGAGCGCCCTTGTACCCCCGGGGCGTAGGCCAGAAGGCAGCAGTTGCCGATAGCTTTTTATTCTGTTTTATTCTGGAAGGTGCTGGTGTTGCTCAGGCTGCTCTCCTGCACCTGCCCCAGGAGCGGACTGAGGGGTTCAGGTCCTGGCTGCAAAAGCAGTGCTTTGCACAGGAGCCAATTTCACGTTAAATTAATGGCAAAACCTGGGAGATGCTGAGACTGGCAAGGGGCTCCTCAAAAAATATCAAAGTCCTGCGGGATCTCCGCCTCCCCTTTTCTGTTTGCCCCGGGTTCCCCTTTCCCAGCCTCCAGCTGTTCCCAGCCAAAGCTGAGGAGCTCCCCTGATTATCACCTTGGCCGGGATGTGGATTGGGCATCTGACTCCCCACTTACACCAGCAGGGAGAAGGCTGCCCTGAAAGGCAAAGTGTCAGACGCTCTTGGTAGGAGTCTGTGAAATGCAAAGGGGGCGGGGGGGGGGGGGGGGGGGGGGGGGGAAGAGAGGGAGAGGGAGAGGAAATAAGGTCTCACCAGCACGGTAAAGCTGCAACTTCTCATAGATTTTGAAAGAAAATGGGAGAGCAGCCTTGGTTCAAATGAACCATGGGAGGATCAGACGGCAATGGAACTCAGCTAGCACTGGCATTTAATATGGCTGGAAACTTTCGTTGTCCCTCCTAAAATGTAATGATAACGGAGAGAGAAAGTGCTGCTGTCCTGCCCAAGCCTCTCTCATAAGAAAAGATTTCCCCATGTCCAGCTCCATTAAATATCGCAGGTCCTCATGGCTCACCTTGTGAGCAGTGCCATGAAGGCAGGTGAGCTTTTACTCAGGCCCGCTGCCACTGCGAACGCTTACACAAGAGCTTAACTTTAAGCGCGGGACTAACAGGGCTGTTGAAGCCCTTAACGTGAACAGCACACACCTCCTCCTCCTTGAGCACCACGCGGGTGTTCTGTGCTTTCACTAGTGCAGGAGGATGCCCAATGTTTTAACGCTGGTTTTGCCTTAAAATACCTTTACATTTTTTTAAATAATTTCTGCTTATATATCCTTCATTATGCCGCTGCACTGCTCTTCCTTTTTTTTTTTTTTGTTTTGTTTTACAGCACAGCATAAATGTTAATGCTGAACCACGCTGCTGCCGTGTATGTTAAGATGTTCTGTCTTTCCTCAGAGGCTGCTCAGGTGGAAAGGATAACATGACAGCTTGACAGCCTTTGTACGCGCTGCAAGTTGTACCGATATAAAAGCAGCGAGTAGCACACGGAGGGGATCACAGCAAATGCAGCCTGGATTGAAGATGACAGGCCAGGAGATAATTTCCTGCAGCACGGGCTGATGTCTGGAAAAGCCCCAGGTGTGGGAGTGCCTCATCCACAGCCTTCTGCTTAGGAGTGCGCGCTGTAGAAATCTCTGGAGCCTTCCCCACATCAGCCCAACCTCCGAGCCTGCTGCATTTTCACAGCAAAGCCAGCTGGAGCTTGAGGAGCAATGTCCTGTCTCCCCAAAAGCAGGGAGTTTCAATCCAAATGCAGGTTAAAAACTAGCCGCAGCATCCACCAAACTGAGGCAGTAGAACAACCGGTTAATTTTTTAATTAAGAAGCTTACTTTTTCAGTCACTTTAACAGATGATGGCCATGCTGTGCGCAGTCAGGGTAGGGAGGGTCTGGGCATTACCAGGAATCCCCAGGAGACCCCCTGTGTGGGACGGGGGTATGGACTGCGGGCACAAAGAGACAGGGACGTGAGGCGCCATGCGTGGATGTTAGTGATGCTTAGCCCCCCTGCCCCGGCTCTCTGCACTTACAGCTTTCCATAAATCCCCTCTTCCCCAGGCCTCTGCTCCGTGCTTGCCACCAGCCCTATAGCCCTGGATGGCTGGCACCACACGCGGGGCTCGAGGGCTGCCAACGCAGAGAGGCTGTGGAGGGAGGTACTGTGACATCTATGCGGATCCTCTAGCAATAAATAAGTATCCATGCTGGCGTCAGGATTTGTCACAGATTTGTGCCCTGTTCCCTGCACTGCCATACCCACAGTTCTCCCCACAGTAACACCGGGTCTCCTTGGCCGTTGCCTCCCCCCTCCCCATCTCCCCCAGTCGTTGCAGGCGCCCTCACAGACCCACCACCGCTCCCCATTACCTACCTGGTGCCCACAGGAAAGCAGAGCAAAGCGAGCCGGACGCAAGGCAAGGGGAGCCAGGCACGGTGCGGGATCCTGGTGGAGAGGAGCAGAAGAGGTCTCAGCCCTCGTCCACCCCATTTGTCCCAGCCCCGCATCCCTGCTGTGATGCTCTGCTCCCTGCTTCCCACAGCAGCCTGGCCGGGATTTCTCCCAGGCCTGGGGGATGATGTCAGGAGTCCAAGCACTGGAGGCTGGAGGGAGGCCAGGGTTAATGCTCTTCATTCTCAGGCAGGAACCAGGTCAAACACTTTCTTCCCCAGGAGTGTGTGGATAAGTCCTCTGCTTTGTTCTTCAGGGTGATAGCTGAGCTCATGGCCTCCAGGCTATGCCCTGCCCCAAGCTGGGCTGGAGAGGAACTGGGGCTGAATACCAATGCCATTAAGATAGATGCTACATAGTCATGAGAAGGAAATGGCCAGAGATTGTTCCATCTCATTCAATTCTGATTCCAGTAACCCATGGTGCTGTAGCCCAGTGCTGGTGACTGGTGAGTCTGTGCTTCTGCCTTTTTTTCTTCCCTTAAAGCTATTCTCCTGCCACAGGCATTTACACAAGTGAAAGGTGCCAGCCTACCCAGGGTGACGGCAGGGATGCCTGGATGACCTCAGACCTGGGGTCCTGCAGGGTAGCAGGAACATTTGACATCTCAGCCTTCCTGGTGAATGACCCAAAGCCACCACAGGGTCCAATGGGTCCCTCTTTTCACCTGGTCCATGACCCATGGCCACCCCATCTAGCCAGACAAACTCATTTCAGAGTCCTCCGACCAGCAGCAGGTTCAGCCAGGGTCTTGGGGGCCAAGTCCCACAGAGACGGATGGCAGCGACCACTTCATCCCCAGAGCCACCGATATCTCAGTAGGTTATGAACCAAGGAGTCTGACACGAAGCGTAGGAATCATTATCACTGGTGACACCCTGCCCAACAGTTCAGCACAGTCCGAAAAGGGATTAAACCACATTATCACTGCATTTCTCCAGGGGATGTGTTGGTCAGATGTCCATAAGGAAGGGTCAGGGTTAAAACGCTTCAGCTGAGAAGGGAAGGGGCGGGGGGGCAGCTCACCTCTTTCTGCACTACAGCTCCAGTCCATTGCCTGCAGGTTCTGGTGCTGCACGGCCGCAGCTTGCCGGGAGAGCATCACCTCTTGCCTGTCAGATATGTTTTTAGGTTTTCTCTTTAAGAAAGTGTTGGCTGAAACCCTGCAGCAGCTCAGGGAGAAATGCTGGTGGTGGGGGCTCTGCTCCACCTGCAGATTCAGCCCAGTCCCAGTCCCTGCCTGAGTAGACAGGCTTTACCAGAAGCAGGCAGGAGCACAGAGTTAACAGTTAAGAGCTCTGTGTGTATGTCGAGGAGCTGGGCATTCAGAAATACAACAGATTTTTTTTTTCCCCTCGCCTTTTAGACCTAAGAATAAGCAAACACATGGCCACTTTAATAACTATATTTTATTGTTTCCTTGAGTTTGAAAGCACACAAAATTTGGAAAATATCCTTAAATTGAAATAACTGTAATACGCAACCAGAAAAATAAGCAAACCTAAGTCCTAGTATTCCTATTGACTTCAGGACTCTAAATTCTGCCTAAAACTGTGCTAAGCACATGGTGCAGGGGCCAAAAATGTAACCCTTTGATTTCCAGACAATATTTTATGTACATGTATATATAGGTATGTATGCATACGACACATACACACATATGTATGTTCCTTTGAGCTCTAGACAATATTTTATGTACATATATGTACGTCTGTAGACAATATGTATATATCCAATACATATGTAGACAATGCATACATGTATTCATATACCATATCTATGCACGTGTGTGTGTGTGTGTACAATATATACATGTAAGTGCTTCTGCTCTACAGTTGACCATAAACATGACTCAGACAGACAAGGACCAAAACTTAGGAAGCGCCGTGAGTCTAAGAATGAAAAGTTGAACCCACGCATGACTTCTTCACCTGGCGATGATCGCTCCTCCTTTGCCTGTAGCTGTTTGCAGCACTCCCAGGGTGGGGACTCAAATAAATGGGGCGCAGCTCCGCCAAATTCAATGACATTTGGCTAGCATCTAGGGGGCCTTGAGAAGTGTTAGGCTCCATAGGTAGCCCTTCACATGTGTGAAGGCAGATGGTCCTCTGAGCCCATCTATATGGACAGTGCCTTCGAGTGCACCCTCTCTGCAGGGGTGTGTGGGAGAGCTGCAGCCCCCGCTGCTGCCGACCCTTGCAGGCAGGTATCTGTGTGCCCCCCCCTGCCCAGGTCTTTATTGCCAGCCCCAGGGCTGGGGAGTGGGGTGGCTCTGGGCAGGGCTGCGGGGAGTCGGGGGACGGGGTGACATCCCACTCTCCCCGTGAGAGCCGCGGGTCACCGGCTGGCCGCCCGGGTCTCACACCAGCGCCATGCTGTCCGTAACCCCGCCGCACCCCTCCAA